AGAGTGCTCGAAAACATTTTTTTCTGAGTAGAAGATTACTTGACAACTTTGAAGAAAGAAACAGAAAACCCTGAAACTATGCTCAGACTATAAAATTGGCGACTTTCTGTCTTGGAAGAGCACATAATCATTTTTAAGCAAATTTTCTCTCCATTTAATGTCACTCATTTGAAATGAAAAGAGGATGTAATTACAAAAGCTCTGTTCTTTTTGAAGATTAAAGGAGCTTTCGGCTTTAAATTTGATTTTGATCATTAGTTAGGTATAAGCTAATTTACCAATTCAGCATCGCCTGAAAGGAGCTATCATTGTTGAAAAGTCCGTTACCTGGAGACGACTCCTATGAATCACATTCTCCTCAAAAGATTCGCACTCGTTTGAAAATGGGTAATAATTAGGGCATCACAGGAAACTAATACTGTCTTCTTAACTTATCATATGAATCTTAAGTTGAGATTAAGCTGTTTCTAATAACATACTCGTTTTATTGGATATTACGTCAGCCTTCGTACGCATATATGGTGTCCCACCTTGTATTCTTGCTGAATCTCTCCCACCAGCACTCAAACTCTTTGATCTTAAGATTTTCTCCATAACACACGTTCTCCGTTTATGAAAACACTTTAGTATGAAGTCGCTTAGATGGCTATTAAACTTTGTAGAATTTTATGTAATCTGGCTGATTATATGATTGTTCCAACCCTGTGCTATAAAAATGGAAGCTCTATAGAAGTTATGTGGAAGTTGAACGGAGAGTATCATAGATTAATATGTCAAACCTCAAGACGTCAACATGTCGGGTTATACTGAAAGTCTTGGAACATTTGTTTTTTTTTGAATCCTACAGTTTCGCTTTGTCATTAGATACTGTAAAAATAGTTTGCTGAAGGTTTATGGGGATTACCGACACTAACATCTTGCAGTCCATCATATTAACATTTCATGGCTATAAGCTTACAATGGCATTTTCAACTTCATTCTATGAATTGCCAAAAAATAGTAACTCAACGACTTTTACGGATTATCTGTATCTGATCAGCAGAGGCTTTTATTATCTACTTTCAAACTAGCTGTGGTGACACAAGGA